GCACACATGAATGTATATTCACACACGTACACACACAAACACACATACACTCACACCACACACATGGACACGAGAAAAAAAAAGACAGAAAATCCAATTGTACAAATACTGAGGACTAAACTTTTAATATCCATCAGAGACGGCTCAGCTGTTAAGGGTACTCGCTGCTCTTGCAGAGGACTAGGGTTTGGGTCTCACCCACATGGCAGCTCAGAACCATCCGGAACTCCACTTCCAGGGGCCCTGACTCCTCTCCTAGCTCCTCCAGGAATGGTGTGCGCATGTGGTGCACAAATACAGAACGCAGGCAAACACTCATACACACAAATTAAAAATAAATACATCTTAAAAAATGCAATCCATCAGGAGATGAGTGAAAGGCAGGCTCCGGGTTGAGCCGATGGGGCTCTGCTCTAGGAACAGGGCCCTTCTTTGCACTGTAGCAATTCTAGATGTAAATCACCACTTTGTCCTCCTGCTCTCGCTCACGGGTCCTCTTTGATCATGACTTCACACCATGAAAAGATACTTCCTTGTGCGAGGCCAGTGGTTAGCTTCTCATAACCCCGGACAACAAAGGCCCCTCTGTGAGGACCAGGAATTCCTCTTGGAATACGGAGAAGGCCCCCAGCTGAACCGTATCCAAGGAAGATGTTGCAAAGCTTGCAAAGCTTGTTGGGAGAAAGGAGCCCTCCCTGTGTGAGATCTTTTCTTTCTGCTCAGATAATGGCCTTGCTTAGGGTTGGGGGTGGGAAGCCATCAAAGGAAAACAGAGGCCCGGCCTGAATGTGTTTGCCAATTACAAGGAAAAGCGCCCGGTGCCAACTCAGGCTTATCATGTTCAGAATTTAATGCCTTTTGGAAAGAAATCGGTTTCCCTCTCGTGAAGCGAACAGAAGGTTATAGAAAAAGACTGTCCACTTTGTGATCCAAACTGAGGCAAAAACCGATCTACAATTAAGTCACGCCTGGCTCAGCTCCCCTCTGTCATGCCCGCCAAGGAAGCCAGCATGGTGCTACCAGTTATAGACTGCCAAGTCTCGTGGCCTGGCATTGAAGGCCCCTCCTGACCTAACCTGAGTCCCTCTTCTAAATTTGAATGCTACCCAGCTTCCTTTTCGCCACCCACAAACCTTCTCCACGCACCATCCTCGCATCCTTCCACTCTCCCCAGGCCTTGTGGGGAGGGTCTATGGAAGGATGATACACTTCCTATGCGTGAGTCTGCCATGTCCCGGGCCTCGAGTAAATGGTAGCTCTTCTTCCTTCGCCCTTCTTTAAGCAAAGATCCCCCTTCCTGTTACAAGTACTTGAGCTCTCTGGTAATGACAAACACTTCATGAAAAAGCCAGAAAATTGGGTAGTGATGAGCAGAAGAGGTAAGGAGTGCCACCCCTGTCCCAGAAGAGGGCCTCCCGGAAACCAACCTCTTCATTGCGTCAGCAAGGAACAGCAGCGGAAATGGTGGCTGCCATATCTGCACCTTATCGCCTGCCAATCCTGAGTTGCCCGAGATCTGCATACCTCGACTGAGGACGCAAAGGCCCAGAGAGGTTGGGAGATCTGCTCCAGGCAACACAGCTCGCTAGCGGTGAAGCTAAGATTCCAATTCAGAACTTTCTGGCTGTGGGGCTAGCCCCGTTTTTCCAAAGGAAAATGCCTTTTCAAAGATGTGTGAACTTTGAGCCACATTTGCCCCTGACATCCGTGGGGAGTCCAGCAGTGTCGGGAAAAGTAAGAAATACCTCTTCTGAGATCAGGTGTGGCTCCACCTGAGAACCAAACAGCAAACGGCACAGATTCTATTCCGTGGGCAGTGGCTGGGGGAATACCAAGCAATACAAAATGGTTTACCAACAGACAAGGGACGTGATACCTCTAGGGGTTTAATGTCCTCGAATGTGTTGGGAGAAAAAAAATCACTAAAGGGGTTGGGCATTTAGCTCAGTGGTAGAGTGCTTGCCTAGGAAGTGCAAGGCCCTGGGTTCGGTCCTCAGCTCCAGAAAAAAAAAAATCACTAAAGAGCTCTAGCCAGTAGAATACTCAATGTGCTTCGTCCCCAAAGGCTGATATGTTAGCATCTACTCACACACGTATTTTAAGAACATGCAAAGTGGCTAGGTGGTGCCGCCTGGGAACCAAGCATCTAACTATTTCATTCTCAGTAATTTAAATTAAAATAGCCATGTGTGGTCAGCAGTTATCATTATTGGACTGTGTAGCTCTGGAACATTCGGAAAGGTTAACAGCACTTTGCCGATAATCTGTATTACATCACCGGGTCTCACGCTGATTTATTTATGTTTTGACTGTAAGCCTTATATCTTGAAGTGTAAAGGGAATTTTTCAGGGTATTGATGGGCAAGGAGGCCCCGAAGGAAATGATATGTGTAAAGGCTTGGAAGCCTTTGAAACACTGAACACACCAGGCTGACTGGAAATAGAATTAGAGTTTCAGAGGTTATTGGGGGAAGCCGTGGGTGTTGTGTAATGGAGGCCCTGGAGTCAGAGCTGAGGGTAGTAATGACTTGATGGGCAGCGCCGAGCCACCCAAGGCTCCCTGCCCGGAGGAGCTTGATGAGAACTGTGCATTCCAAGACTGGTCTACCCATGTGTTTGGATCCTGGCTTCAATCCATTTTTTAAATGTTTTTATTCTTGTGAATCGTGTGTGGTATATGCTATGTGTGTGGAGGTGCCCATGGAAGCCAGAAGAGGGCATCAGACAGATCACCTAGAGCTGGAGTTACAGGCCATAGTGAGATGCCCAATGTGGGTGCTGGGAACCCAGCTCCAGTAGTCTGGAGGAGCAGCAAGCACTCTAACTGCTGAGCATCACTCCAGCCCTTGTTAGTGCCAATGCTGCTCTCTCAAGGGGTCTGTCTATCCTTCGCTCAGATGGAAGCACATCTGTCAATCACTTGCAGCCATTTCCTGTGCCGTTCTGTCTCTGGTTGCAGTATCTGTCTACCCACCATGTGACATGCCCAGTGGTGGGTCCAGGAGAGTGACCTATTGACCTTTCATGTTTTTAGTCCTTAGCACCTGCTCAGTCACATCTCACTGTACACCTGTGAGCACGGAAGAGTAGCCTCCAACAAATAGTTCGATATCTTTTTCAATGCAAAAGCATCAGTTCCTCTGAGACAGCACACCAGGAAATAAGGCTGGGGCCCTGGGCACTGAACCCCTGCTGGGTCCTCCTCTCAAAGGTCCCACTGCTCCTTCTGTTTCTTTGGCCCCAAACTTTCCAGTCCATCCAGGTAGAGGTGTCTTCCCTCTTACAACCTTTCTTCACAGAGTGTTGCAGACCTCCAAGTAAACCCTTGGCCTGCCCAGGCTCCTCACTGATTTGCTCTTTAAACCTCAAGAATCCAGAATACTCATTCCTCCTCACGGGAGGTTGTCGCCTTAGAGAGCAAGCCGCAGAGTATTTACCACAGCTTCCTGGTACCTTGACACAAAGCAGGAGTTCAGAATTCTTTGTTGGCTAAGTAAACAGCACCCCTTGCTTCCTCTTTGTCAAGCTCGGTCTGCCTAAAGGCCTTCCTGTCATAACTGGCCATCACTAGTTTCCCGTCTGCCTGGCTCAGAACCGTCAGCATCTCAGAGCTGCTTGGTGGTGCGGTCTCAGTGCTGAGCCTCTCCGGGATATGTCCAGTGTTGTTTATTTTATACACCGCAGACCATTTGAGTTATGTGTTATGTGCGCTTTTGCCTTCTTGCTCCCTGTATAGGTGGATCTCCTAGTATAGGTGGATCGCTCCCTGAATGCATACACTTCACCTTACTCCTGCTGTGCTTACCAAGGAATATGTCCTCAAAATGCTCATGATAAATAATGAGGAGTGCAGTAAAAATTAAGAACAATAGGATGAGGGATAGTCAATGAATGTTTACAAGTTTTAGGGAACTATTGCATAATAAAAAATAGATACTGACTGAAAAGACATGGCTAACAATATGAAATTGAATCGCTGAATGTATGTAACTGTCTGGTGCTATATGGGAGGTTAGAGCTCATTATCTTATTAGTTACTTGAAAGTAGAATAAAAGCATGTCTTAAACGTGTCTGTATACAGTGAAGTATTTTACTAAATAGAGAAGTGAAAATCTGAACATTTCTTTGCCTTCTAAATTCTATACATCATTTTCATTATAAGCAAAGATATTTTCTAAATTATGTATTTTATTCAATGGTTATACTTTTACTAGTTGAAACATTGCTTGATATATCATTTAATTCCTCTCCCTCCCTCTCTCCCTATCTCTCTTCTTCCTTCTTTAATTGAAACTGTGTCTATCAGAGTGGAGGCATATTGCTAAGCAGTGTTTATGGGCACTACCCACAAGAATGTTAATATGTTTAAGCTACTATAACAAAACACCCTAGACTGGGTGGTTTATAAACAACAGAAATATCTTTCTCACAGTTCTGGAGACTGGGAAGTCTAAGGCCCTAGCAAAATGGTCTCTGCTAAGTTCCTATGTCCTAGATAGTGGCCTTTTCATTGGGATCTTGCTTGATGAAGGGCCAGAGGAGCTCCCAGGGCCTCTTTGTAGGACCTTGCCCTCATGATCCACTCACCTCCCAAAGCCCCACCTTTTGATGCTGGGGATTGTTTCAACATCAATCTGAATTCTGAAGGGAATGCAAGCATTCAGATCTTCAGATGTAGTCCAACATGCCCAGCGTGTGATGAACAGTTTACATGTTATGCCGTTTAAATCTCATTACAATCTCATTTTATGAATGGGAACACTGAGATGTTAGTTAATTGTTGATTGATTGCTAAGTGCCCGGAGCTGGGCTGCCAAGTCAGGCCTAACAAACCTCAGACCTCTTGCCTGCCTGGGCTGTTTCAAGCCAGAAACCCCACGGCAACATCACTGCCCTGCGCCCCTCGGGAAATGCCATCTTCTGTCATGTTCTCCACGCAGCCCCGCTGTGAAAATGTGGCAACAAGTATCCCTCAGTGTTCTGCTTTGTTTTGTTTCAGGAAGAGAAGTTAAACACCCAGAGAAGCCTAATGGACAAGCTCCCCAGCAGGTAAGTTGGCATTTTCTATTTTATGCTCTGTGGGGTGGTCTGTTCTTTATACTTTCCATTAATGTTATATCACTCAGCATAGAGATTTTCTTTTGTTTCCTGTAACATTGAAGCCAGCGGACAGAGCAAGTCCCCAAGTCTGTTTCTTTCTGGCTTGTTCAGATTTCAGTTCAATGATATGATTTAAAGTTTTTTTATGTTATTCTTGTTGTTTTAACATTTTTTTAATTTTTCCTTTATTTTATATGTGTATATAAGATACATATACAATATATGTGCCTGTGTAGCAATCAAAAGACAACTTCTAGGAATTGGTTCTCTTTCTCCACCACGTGAGGCCTGACCTGGGCCTTGAACTCGGGCCCTCAGTCATAACAAACGGTACACTTACCTACTAAGCCATCTTGCCAGCTCCCCCCTGCAGCTCCTTGTGATTATTATTATTTTTCTTTACTTTTTTTTGTTGGGAAGAGAATTTAAAATGTGTGTGATAAGACAGCAAACCAAATCTTCACAGTGAAAGATTTCCGCTTGCCCGAGGAGGTTGGAGCATCTCTAGTGACATTCACATCCCCCAGCACACTGGCTCTAAGTGTCAGTCATCCCAGACTGCAGCCTCAGTCCCCTAGGAATCTGTAGGAATGCATCTTATTTAGGCCTCACTGTAGATGTAACCAACCTTCTTATTAAATAAGAAACACAGAACCAATGCAAAGAAGAAAGCCAAGAGGTCAGAGCTAAGAGCTAAAACCTTACCCTTCCTCCTGCGGTGGTCCTACCTCTCCGAACCAGAGCTACCCCTGTGTTAAAGTCTTTATATAGAGTTCCTGTCCTGCCTTCTCATTGGTTGTAAACCCAACCACATGACCGCCTCCTCACGGCCTGTCTGTATAGGCCTCCAGGTTTTCCATGATTGGTATTAAGATTAAAGGCATGTGTATCCAATAATGGCTGTATCCCTGAACACACAGAGACTTACCCAGCTCTGCCTACCAAGTGCTGGAATTACAAGCGTACGCCACCACTGCCCTGCTTTCCTATGACTTGCTAATAGCTCTGACCCCCGGGCAACTTTATTTATTAACATACAAATAACATTTTAATACAAATAAAATATCACCATACCTCACCCCAGACCCCTGAATCAGAAGCTACTCCCAATGCCCAGACCTCAGGCAACTCCGGTGTATCTGTCAGGTGAGGGACCAGGTCCTGGGTTACACCTTCTGCTGCTACCGTTTGAATATGAAATGTGGCCCTCAGGCTTGTGTATTGAAGGCTTGGTACCCACCCGGCTGGGTGGAAGTGTTTGGGGGAGGTGCTGGATATTTTAGGAGGAAACTCCTAGCAGGAGGAAGTAGGTCCCTAGGGGCATGTCCTTGGGGACTCTATCTTGCAGTATGGCACCTTCCTGACTCTCTGTGTCCTGGCTGCTTCTTGGCACATATTTCCACAGCCATGATATTCTGCCTCACGTCACGCCCAGAACAGTGGGTCAGCTAGCCTTGGCCTGAGACTAGAAAACTAAGCCATAGTAAGTCCTTCCTCCTTTTAAATAATCACGTGGGTATTTGTCACCGGTGAGGACCCAAGGTACCCATCACATTTTCCTCCCGTTTATTTCTGACTCTCCTCCCTGCACCAACTAACTTGCGGGGCCATCTCCTACATTCCAGCCTGTTGCAACCCTACTCCGTGTATCTCAGCCATGGTGCATCCATTGTCCTTGCTCCTTCTGGAACGTTCTAGACCATCATGCAGTCCCATCTCTGCAGGGCTGGTTCATCCTTCCAGATTCGTGCTGTCTGCCTCTCTACCCTACCTGCCACTGAGTTGGATAGTGGGAGGGAGGACCTGGCCTTCTAGCCACCCTGCATCCTTCACTACTGTGGGCCCACATGTGTCCAGGGACCTCGTTTCATCTGCATTTCAATCTCCTTTCATGGCTACGTCCCGGACCGTTCTATCAACTGTGGGTTCTCAATAATAAGATCAGGCCACCGTCTCTAGGCGCACCAGATTTCTCATGCTCGAAGGTGTCGTGTGTCTGGTTCTGTTTGTTTCTAGCCGTGTTAGACTCTCCAGCCCCCAGGACTCTCACCTAATAAACCAATAAAGTCAATCTATTTAAGTTTATGCTAAAAAGCACACCGGGAAACGTCAGAGGCAGACGTGATGATAGCTGTCTAAACTGGGAGGTGAGATGAAAAAGCAAAGAAAATAGCCAATGGCCGGGTCAGGGAAGAGGTGAAGGAAGCTGTATGGCCAGGAAAAGAAACAGGCAGTGGTGCACTAGAGGGTGTAAGTGTCTGCGCATGCCCTTTCCTCTCCAAGGCTCTTAGCTTAAAGGAGTCATCACAGTCAGGGCCTTCAGCTCACTTCAGTCCCGTGCCTTCCCTGTAAGGGGCTGTAAACAGGGCCTTGGTGGATTCCAAACCACCGCTCCCAGGTCGCCATCCCCTTTCCTCACATTTTTAGCGGCTTCTCGGTCCACCCGGCCTTGTTCTATGTTTCCCTTTCAAGGCACCTTATTTGAAAATGTGGCTCATTCACCATGTGAGCTCATTGGAGGCGAGCAGCCCTGACACTCACTCCAGGATGAAACTCATCTGTTGCATCTGTTTCTTCCGTGGTGCGGCATGCCACAGCTTTCTTTAACTGAGCACCCACAGGACAGCACCTCGGGGCTGTGCTCAGGGGCCTTTAAACAGTGAAACAAACAAAAGGGGACACAAAATGGACTGTAGAGAACGCGCTTATCCAGAATAATAATTCAGCCAAGGAGACAGGAAACTACCCTGTGTGAGCTTCACGAGAAACACGGAGGCCAGATGATGCTCGTTTTCGCCGCTTGGCACATGCCCGTGTGTGTCTGCCGCACAGCATCGTATAAGGACTAGTGTTTGAGTTACTAATAAATTTTGTCACGTGAGCAACATTTGAAAATATGGACCACAAGAAGTAAGGATCAAGTCTAGCTATAAAATGTCAGTTAGCAGCTGGTATATAAGAAGCGCCATGTAAAGTTGGTGTTTTGACCATCACCTTCATTATTGCATGGTATTAAATATCCTGAGGCACTGGACATCTCTGGGGAGGTTTTAGGTGGAGCAGTGATGATAATGGTTCAGGTGTGTGGTCTGAAAGGATCTTGTGGCTCTGTGTGGCTAATGTGTTGGAAGGGGACATGAACAGATGTGGAGACAGACTAGGAAATGGTACTGTAATCGGGGTATTAACAAAGAGATGATACTGCCTTAGAACCGGGCATAAGAAATGGCCATGGCTGGAAGGAATGGGTCTAAGAGAGAGCCAGGCCTGATGGCATATGTCCGTAATCCTGGCACTTGAGAGCACCTCACTTCTCTCCCAGAGCACCTCACTTCTCTCCCAGAGCACCTCACTTCTCTCCCAGAGCACCTCACTTCTCTCCCAGAGCACCTCACTTCTCTCCCAGAGCACCTCACTTCTGAAGTAGTTGTCTAAGTTTTGCACATCAAGCAGTTCTCCACCTCTGCACACCCGCTGGGTGTAACACAATCTGACCAACTTCCTGCTTGAGCTGCCCCGAGGTAGCAGCACCAGATGCCACAAGTTAAGGGCCACGGCCACGAGACTGTCCCCGCTTCACATGCTGGTTACAAACCTGGACCCCAAACATGTGGCCAGGCAGTCATAGATCAGGGTTCTCAAGGTACCTTCCTTGAACTCAGTAGTCTATTTGAATGGCTCACAGAACTGAGAGAAATTATTGAGTTACATTTACTGGTTTGTTCAAAGGATAGTTTAAAGAATTGGATGAGCAGCCAGGTGATGCGGAACAAAGGCAAGGTCTAAGAGGACCACAGAGCAGAAACTTCTGCCCTATGGAGTTGAGGAGCACCACCCTCCCAGCACCCAAGAGCGTTTATACACTACACAGGGGCATTTACACACTACACGGGGGCATTTACACACCATACAGGGGCATTTATACACTACACAGGGACATTTATACACCACACAGGGGCATTTACACACTACACAGGGGCATTTACACACTACACAGGAGCATTTACACACTACACAGGGGCATTTATACACTACACAGGAGCATTATATACACTACCCAGGAGTGTTTATACACCACACAGGAGCATTTATACACGTTTTGGCAAACCATACTGCCTGTGGGATTTGCAGAGTTTAATCTCTATCTAATTTCCAGTATCTACCATCACTTCTAACACACACACACACACACACAGAAACAGATAGATAGATAGATAGATAGATAGATAGATAGATAGATAGATAGAAGAGAGGGAAGAGAGACAGAGAAACAGAGATATCAGTGGATGATATTGAACCAACCAAAACCTCCCCTTGATGCTGCGGTACTGGTAGTATCCTAAGGCTATCCAGGGAACCCAGCCTAAATCATCTCAGCATAAACTCAAGTGTGGCCAGCAGGGTTCCTTATGTCAAGAAGCCACTAGGACCTGGGAAATTCCAGAGGCTTTTGGAGCTCTGTGCCAGGAACCAGAGACAATGATTAAATCTATTTGTCATAACCCCCTATATGATTTTATGTGCACCTTGACAAGACCTTCTGGTGAAACAGTCTTAAAAGTAAAATTGATCATGAAAAATAAAGGCGAGGGACAGGGGCTGGAGAGATGGCTCAGCAGTTCAGAGCACTGACCGCTCGCTCTTCCAAAGGTCCTAAATTTAATTCCCAGCAACCACATGGTGGCTCACAACCATCTATAATGGGATTTGATGCCCTCTTCTGGCATGCAGGCATACGTGCAGACAGAACACACATTGGGGGGGGGGGGGGAGGCGGAGGCAGGGGAGGCAGGGGCAGGAGGAGCAGGAGGGAATGGGTCAAACAAAACAGAGCATGTTTTGTGGCTTAGATCAGAAGCCGGGCATGTGGTACTTGCCTGTAAACTAGCACTTGGGAGCCTAAAACAGGGGTGTCCTGAGTTTAAGGCCAGTCTTGGCTACATAGTGGG